ATAAATATGTTACCCTGTTTGTAGTGGAGTTTTCTTTTAGTCGTTACAAATTTAATAACATTCTCAATGCTGAACGGCGGTTCCAATCAGGGAGCGATATATTAAAACCTACAATATAATTTCTGCAGAAGTTACAGTAATTACAATTACTTCTTTTTTAACTTGCAGTTAAGTATTTAAATAACGCAACGCAGGATGCTTCGACCAGTGCTGCCAATTTTGCTTATAATAAGCGAAATTTAGCTTATTTGTGTTTTTTTCAGTCGCTTTAATTTTTGAGAGTCGCTGGTTGCGGTTTTTTGGGCTTGTTTTATTTTGAGGTCTCTTATTTGAGTGTTTATTTTGTAATAGCTGACTTCAACACACATTAAAATTGGTTTCGGTGATTGACTGGGTCAATATTCTACACATAATTGCAATTTTAGAATCATTCTATCCTAGCTCATTCTTGTTCAATTAAAAAACACCCCCACAACCGTAAACTTTGTAGCTCGCCCACTTGACATATTCCATATTCTAATAAAGCCGTGCAAATTATTATTTTGCGGAAAAATCATGAAAGAGTATGTCTGAAAGCTAGTGCTGCTTTTTTTAGGCTTGTTTTGAAAAGGTTTGTTTGTTTGTAATTAAGCACAAAGCTACACAATGGGCTATTTGTGCTTTGCCCACCACGGGTATCGAAACCAGGATTATAGTGTTGTAAGTCCGCAGACATGCCGCTGTGCCACGTGGGGGGGGGGCGTTTCGAAAAGGGGTACCACTTGTTTTGAGCGACAATGCCACATATTTGTCTCGCTAGACTTAGCAACACTGACCTCTATGTTCAGGTTTACAATTATTTTAAAGCATAACACAATACCACAAGCCGTTCAGCAATAAACACCTCGTACAAGTTTAAAAAGTACTTGAGAGTTACATTATACACCTAGTTTACGTTTAGACAAAATATCAATAGGAAACTTGTCAGTTATTATGAATAGAAGATCCGTGTATAATGTAGTCCCCCGCTGAAACAGCGGAAAGTCTCCGGATTGAAACGCTAAAATCAGATGCTCGATTCCCCTCGGGGGACACAACAGATAACCCGATGTAGTTTTGCTATGAGAAAACACACACATGTGTAATGTAATAAGTGCGTAATTATAATATTGATAAAATAATATTAATTTGTAATAAATATGTGCTAACAGACGCTCCATTTGAAGGAAAAATAAAGATAATTCCTCACAGATGGTATATTAAGTCATATGTATAAATCAGTGGGTTAACTTTTAGTTCTGACCTATATTTGTAGTTTGGTTTGATGAGTTATTGATAATTATTTCTCAACTGACAGTGGTCAGTAGCTGCTAGTTCAAAACCACCACTAGAGCGGCTATGGCAACTGGACAATTCTCGGCAGCTGTGTTCTACTCCGATCTAGTACTAGTATTATTACTATTAAGCTAATCTTTTGAGCTTAAGGGTAGTCGGTTACATTAGAATATTATATTAACTATTCGTGTATATGTATAAACATTATTTGAGGCCATTAGAAAATATACTTTAAGTCCGTAATGGTTATTTGTCGATTTTATTTACAAGGAAACTGTCGTTATGGTAGCAGGTGCTGGAACGAACACCTTCCTACAAGGAATCTTACTATTCCTAATACTAGTAATAGTACTAGTGATACAGCCTTCACACAAATCAAAGGTATGTTATTAATATAAATTTTTTATATTTATATTATAATAAATTGATATTAACCCATTAACTGCGGATGACGGATATTTCCGTCATTGAAGTTCTATGGCTCAGCTGCGAATGACGGAAATATCCGTCAGTCGCACATATATAACTATAACTGTATGCGAATGACGAAAATTACCGTTTTATTGTGATTGATGGCAACTCAGTTTTATCTGTGAGTCAGAAAACGACAACTGAGCTGCTCCTGCCGCAGTTAATGGGTTTATAATGATATATGTCTTGTACTATTACCTAGGTAAAATAAAGCTTTTTGTTTTTTTTAAATACTGGCTTAAGCTGAAGTTCATGTTTTAAGCTCGCACCCATAATTTAGAGCTTAACAGAAATTTAACTTCTTTTTTTTTTAAGGACAGCAAGGGCCAAGGAATCTTTTGGCCCACCTAGACTGTTCTATACACTGTATATAATATGATATTTAAATATTCATCAAACTCCTCATAACTTTAGTTTACTACATCCACCACTTGAAGGTAACCCATTCCAAAGGCCAATCACCAATTTAGAAAATATAAACATCTTAGCTGAAGATGTTTCGTATCATGCCACAATTTATACTTGTATTTTCTAGTCCTACCATTATCATTACTAAGTTGTGATGAATCACCATTATCAAATCTCTTAACAATCTCAAAAAGATACTTCTAAAAGAACCCCACTAACTGTTCAATTTCAGTTTAAGAGATTTGAACCTTTTCTTCATATTACAACCTTTGAATTGCAGGCATTTTCCAAATATCTGTCCTCTGAACCTTTCCAACAATTCAGTACCCTTCCTAGAACAAGGAGATCAAGACTGAACACAATACTCCATACGTGGTCTAACCAATGACCTATACAATGAGATTATAACCTCTTTTAGACTTCCATTCAGTATTTCTGTAGATATAACCTAAAATACAATTTTGCCACAAAACTACATTACTTAAATGGCTTAAAAGACTGATCAGCCAGAACACCAACATACTTTTAATTCATAACTGTTAAATAGTTAAGTTTACTCTAATCAAAATTATACTCAAAATTCACAATTTATCCCAGATGCATTACTTTGCATTTCTTATAATTAAAAACCACTTGTCACTTGTTTGCCCAGCTCATCAGATTATCTAAATCTTTTTTGTAAAGCAGCAGCAGCAGCATCCTCACAGCCAGCAACACCCAAAACCTCAATGTCATCAACAAATTTGAATAATTTAGTAACCATTTCTTCATCAATGTCATTGTCATAAATCAAAAAGAGCAAAGGTCCTAACACTGAGCTCTGAGATACTACAATTATGACATTAATACAATTTGTCTGAACTCCATATATGTAACAACTCACTGCTTACTTCTATTGAATGAGCCAACCTGTACTGCGTAGTGATAGAGATCATTTTTTAAGAAGTCTTTTTTTTTTATTAATTTTCAAAAATGTTTTCCCATTATTCATGTAAGACTAATAGGCCTGTAATTACCAGGGCAATTTTTTTTATCACCTTCCTTGTAAAGAGGAGTAACATAAGCCAAATTTCAATTTTGTGGCACCTACCCAGTATTCAAGAACTTACAAAAAAATAGTAACAAGTGGTTTACATACCCAGTCCTTAACTTCCTTTTGATGAAATATTCTCAGGCCTAGTAGCTTTATCATTCTTTAAACTTCCCATCTTTTTCATACAAGCTCAGAGTTAATGTAATGATCTTGTTCAATTTTTTTGCCATCTAGCATCTGTTGAGGATGAGGAATGTTGCTTAAATCTTCATTAGTAAAAAAATGATTCAAAAGTGGAATTTAATAATCTATCCATCTGATTAATCATCGGATTATGAGCCTTCCTCTATCATCTTTAAAGTCCCTACTTCCATTCTAACATTTTGCTTACTCATAATGTATTTAAGTAAATCCATTTTGCTAATTATTTTTTTTTGTTCACAACTGTTTCAAATACACTAATTTCCTGTTTGACCAATTCTCTTGATCTTTTATAATTCTGTGAGTCTCCTATCATAGCAGTCAATTTTGACTTCTTAAAGCTAAGCCTTTTACTTGTAGCCAACCTTTTCTTTTCTTTTCTATAACTGTATAAGGAACATGTCTGTTTTATATTCTTATACATTTTGAAACTTTACCACCTTTGTCCAATATCTTGAATTAATTCAGTTGCCCAATTCAAGTTTATTTTTTTGAAATTTATAACCAAAATTACATTGTTTGTGACCTCCATTGCAGTAGAACATCAAACCTAATTGAGCAATGATCACTTGCACTCTGATGTTACACAGTCTCCATCTTCTCAACTATTTCTGCATCATCAATTTACAATAAATCTAAAATAACTGTTCTTAGTAGGTTCACCAGACAAATTGGTGAAGAAAACCAATCTAAACAATTAAAAAACTTTCATGGTTTGACTAATATTTCCTGATGTAAAAGTTTGGATATGTACATTTATAATAAAGTTTTCTTTATTACCCATTTAAGCCATCTCCAAACTTTTATTTTTTAAAAGATGAGTTCCTCGTCATTAAATCTCCCAATATCTTATGTCTAAAATTAAAATCTCCCTCCCATAATTATGGTTTCAGTAACAGTTGAAATCTTAATCTCACCGAGTTTCTCATTAATTCCTCAGTTTCCTCTGGTTGTTTAAGACAACTTTCAACTGAAAGCATCCCCCCTAAATAGATTCAATCACTTTGCTATTGTCTTTGATATTCTCAATGTCAACAGGATATAACTCCTATTTTATATGTAAAGCCATTCTCCTGTTCCTTTTTTCTCTTTAGTATTCTATTCCTATTAAATAATCTATAACCTTGTATTTCAAAGAAATTTCTGTCATTAAAATTGTCTACACTGAAAATTGTTTCAGTTATTACAGTTATATAAAAATCACCTGTTCCAACCATGTGCTCTAAAATCATCTGTTTTATTTCTTATACTTCTAACATTACAATAGTAATAATTTGTCATCATCAGCCATTATTAGTCTCAAAGTGAGTTCCTCGTCATCAAATTTACTTCTATGCTTTGTTCCTACACTACTTGTATTGTTCAGAATTATATTTTTAATTGTGTATTTGTCATTAGTTAACAATTTATGAATGTTATGAATATTTTTTTCAACACTACATTTGAAATAAGTAACAGTTATAGTTAAAAAGTAAAATTAAAAAAAAGAATAGGCATAACTATTAACAGAGAAGGTCATACATAAAAGTAACACTTTAACTCACTAAAGGGGAAATCATGGATAAATGCCATAAGTTTAAGAAGTTGAAATTGACATATGGGTTGGAAGAGGTATAGAAGTTTAGCAAAGCTAGGAATTTGATTAAAAAAAAGAAATTAGGAAATTGCTTATTAGAAACAGCTGCCTCATCATCTTATAACTAATTACAACTATCTCTTTTAAGAATATTAAAGGTAGGTAAAATGTTAGAATGGGAATTAGGCCCATAAATGTTGTTGTTGATGGCAAGGTTTTTATTGAAGACTATGAGATGGCTGAGCTTATCAATCTTTTCTTCTGTTTGTACAAGTAAAGGTACTGAATACTTCTAACCCTGAGCATTTATTGTAAATATAGGAATTTGTCAGAATCATGTAAATATTAACCCAGTGCTAATAAGTAAGAAAGTTTGAGAAAAAATCATAATTATGATAAAGTATTTTACAAAAGGTTTGCCTGGGAATTTATGGAAGCAGTGTGATTCAGACTGATCAGTCTTGAGTGCAAGGTGGTTTTCATGTTAACAATAAAAATACTCCTTTCATCATACAGTTTTCATTATTTATTTCCATTACCTAATAAATGAATATAATATGTTTTTTGTTTTCAATAAAGCTTTATATTTTGTCTAATACTAACTGTAGTCATATCAACAATGTAGTGTAAAATGAAAAGTTACAAAATGAATCTCAAGTATTTTTTTTTATTTCTAGAATGATTTCATATTGTGACTGACAGTTACAGTTATACATCCTAAACAGCCTCATTTTATATCAGTTTTCATGTAATTTTATTGTTGTATTGCACTTTGAACCATATCTAAATACTAAACTTGTGTAACAAACCTATCAAACACCTGGGAAGTGCTGAGTTCAAGTTAGGAGTACATAGCTCAAGTTACAGTAAATGAAGTATTGCATAACATAATACACAAGCTTCTCTAGTGCATACTTTGCAGAGAAACTTAAAACCAATAATTTAATTTTTTTTCTTACCTAACCTGATAAGTTTCTAAGTTTTAAATGTTAATTACTTTTATAACAAAAAATGAAAACATACATAAAAAAACAAGAATTAGTACTTATGTGAAACTTATATCTTTTACAATCAAAATCTCAAAGTCTCAATGAAGTTAACTAATTTTTGGTAGGATTCCTGATATTATTTTACTTAATTTGTAATTCAGATAATCAGTTGAGAGAACAAAGTAACAACATACACAAAGAATACAATGTACTATAACTTACAGTCCAATTAGATTTCTCACTAAATATAAACGAGTTAAATAATTCAAATATATTGTTAATCTTAACTTTGATAGAAACTTTGAATCTGTAGGCCAAATAATTAAGATGTACAGTTTTTATGTAGAGTTTGTAGGTTGGAGGAAAAGTTAGAGGAAATCGTGATTAATGTAGATGCAATAGATAAATTTAAGTGTAGATTGTGGGAAATAGCAGCAGGATTTCAGCAGGAACTTGAGCTTTTACATGCAAAGGATATTGTTGCATATCTGCTTGTTTGTTAATGTCCGGTAGAAATTCTTTTCGAGGAAGTTCAGCGATAAAAGTTCTTTCTTGATTAAACCAGTTTATTCTTTCTTGATACAAACTTTTAGTACACAGTAATTCCACAGTCAGTATGTTTCTCGTCACTTTAAACTTAACAACTTTTATAATACACGCTATAAATCACAGCGATTCACAGTCTCAATAACTTCGCTCTCTA